CCTGCCACTGATGAACCCGTGTTGGTTGCCCCTAAGCATGCAGTCCCCTGCTGTCCCCTCCTGCATAGTAGGTATATTTATTGGCAGTTGTTTACTGAGAACACTCAACTTGTCACCTTTTTGTGTCCTCCAACCTAGGCACAATATATGATACGTATGACATTACAGACAGTTGGTGGCTTGCTGGGTGCTATGTACTGTCCCTGAACTGGGGAAGGAAGATCTTCCTATGTCATGTTTGAATTTACCATGTTTATGAACCTGCACAGCTTATTTCACCTGATATATGAGAGAGAAAGGGGAATTTGAAAATGTAAGGGGTGTTAACATTTTATATGAGCTATGGTGAGGTGATTAAACTCTATTTATTTTGCAGTATTTAACTGGAATTAAGTATTTAATAAAATTCAGTAATGGAACATTAAAGCACCGAAGTAAACACAATAATATTACTTTCAAGTTTATATCATCTAAATTAGTGCATAGAATAGAAAAAGGAAATGTTGAGCATGAAAGAAAATGTCTAGTTTCTATGTGAGAACCACTAGAAATGAGCAAAAAAAATGTAAGCTATATGTCAAATAGAAGTTGGTAGCACCTAAGTTTACTTAAAACAACATGCTTTTAAGTTGAGTATTTTGAGATACTTCTGTTTATAATTATTTGAAAGATGCACCTAATTCTGTCTCCCTTTATCACAAATCACTGAAAAATTTCTGTGAAACAAAATATTTATTTCTGTGTAAATTTCTCTGTTTCCAAAAATCTTACGTTGAAAGAACACCTTTGAGTATGCAAAAGCTCCATACATTATAACACTGCCACCAGCATTATGATTTTTTTGTATCATGTAGCAGTTGATTTTATTCAGTACAGTCAACTGGAAGAGACGAGACAGTTTTTAATATACAGTTCTACTTAAAATAAGTTGTTTAAAATGAAATTCTCATTGGCAACTGTTTCCTATTTCACCACTCAGGGCCAGAATATTATAAGTTCCAGCAGAACTAG